CTGGGAGTTGAAGTCCACAAGTCTTAAAACTTGCCAAGTTTGGAGACTCCTGGCTTAACAGGGCTTTTAACATGTTTTACTCTTAATTTTATTTCTGGTTTGTCTTTTACAGTAGCTTTTTTTGGTACATTGGCTTATAATTTCTTTTTGCGTGAAGACTGATGCAAAGAATGAGTTAAGCAGCTCTGCTTTCTCTCTATTGCCTCTATTACTTCCTTGCCATCTTTAGAGCGGGGGTCTTCAAACTTGACAGCTTTAAGACTTGTGGACTTCCAACTCCCAGAATTCTTCCTCCCGTCATGTTAGCTCAGGAGTTCTGGGAGTTAAAGTCCACAAGTCTTAAACATGCCAAGTTTGAAGACCCTTGCTTTAGAGCAGTGATCCCCAACCTTTCTTATGCCGCGGCCCGGTATCCCCAACCTTTTTTATGGCGTGGCCCGGTACCGGCATTAGCTGGGCGCCGCCATCTTTTTTTGATGAAAAAGTGCTTCCGGTGACCTCACCAGAAGCACTTTTTCATCAAAAAAAGATGGCGGTGCCAGCGCTTCCGGTGAGCTTTTCTGGGTAGAAATGGCTTTCTACCCGGAAAAGCTCACCGGAAGCACTTTTTCATCAAAAAAAGATGGCGGCGCCCAGCAAACCAGCGGCCCGGTAGGACTTGTTCCACGGACCAGTGGTTGGGGACCCCTGCTTTAGAGGACCAACTGTTTCCTTGACTTTTTTCTTGTTATTAATATGTTTAAAGAAACTTTTTAAAAATTCTCTTTGACTTTTGTAGCAAGCCTTTGTTCATTCTGAGCCTTTGTTTTCCTGACTTCATCTTTGCAATTTCTGGCTATTAGCTGAAAATAAGCTTTATTTATGTGTCCCTCTTTCCATTTTCGGTGCATGTCCTTTTTGTCCTTCAGTTTGTCAGAGAGATCTTTGTGCAGCCATGATGGTTTCTTCTTGAACTTCTTGTATTTCCTTTTCAGTGGTATTGCGTTGGACTGGGCTTTTAGGTTTGCATTTTTTTTTCTCTGTGTGTTTTTTTCTCTTTCTCCCTGCAGTTACAACTACTGCCGAGAAGATGAAGAGATTTATAAGGAATTCTTCGACGTGGCCAATGACGTGGTTCCCAATTTGCTCAAAGAAGTGGCCAGCCTCGCGGATTCTACTGAAGAGAAGGGAGCTGGGGAAAGAGGAGAGGTCAGTGATGGAAGAACTGAATAATACTGAATAATACTGAATAATCAACTGAATAATACTGAATAATAATAATCAACTGAATAATA